GGCTGTTTGACACTCGTCTAAGTTTGTTTTAGGGTAAACGCTGATGTATCCTTGGAGCATAAACACCATGTTTTCTAGTCGGGTTGTTAATAAGAAACAAATTGTCTTGGAGATTGCTAAGGGAAGATAGGACATAAAAATGATCTAAGTGTTTTAGGAAAAAATAGTATTACATTTGGGTACATAAATCTATGCAGAGACTATTTCCCCTGGTGTGGGTCTACTAAAATGACAGATGTGGGACTGTGGATCTGCATCCAGGTTAAATTGGCACTCACAGGAAGAGAACAAGACAGTGAGAACTTGTTTTATTTTGGTAGAAACTTCCATGTCCAAGTAAGAACTTGGCATTCAATTTATCACTTATATTAACTGTCTGAACAGCCATCACTGGAATGTTTTAAAGATTACACAAGAAGTCTAAAACTCAGTGCATTTAGGTTGTGTGTCTCAGCAAATATCTCAAAGGTCTAGTTAAACGTCCTTAGCCAGGATTTTGATTTGAAGCTTGCAGAGACAATAATTCTTGATCCACACTTTCTGCTCCTATTAACTGATGAGAAGTGAATGGAACTATTCTTGGGGAAGTACTTAGTTCAGACTTCCCCCATCCTACAAATAAAACCACTGGCCCCGTTCCCATCCACAACTGTTATTCTTGGGCCAAAGACCAGGATAAGTGTCCACTCATCTAACACTGACCATCTAAACTCTAGTATATGTCAGACATGAGATAAGCTACTAGGAATACAATGCTAAATGATGAAGGTTCATATAGGAAACGTAATGCCAAGAAAACAAATACTGCTTTATTGGGTACAGCTTGCCATATCTAGGGGAAGAGAAAGGTGCCAAGCCAGGTTTCCCAATCAAAAAGCCAGGGCAGCACAATCCCAGGCATATAGCAAAGGCTCCCATAGGCCAGAAACAATCCTGGAAAGTGCCATGTAAAAGAATCAAGGAGAGAGGCATTTTTTTCTCCGTAGTCTTGGATATCAAATATTTTCCAGCAAATAGATGCATAATTTGGGCCTCCAAGTCTGAGTTTTCCCTACAGCAGTTCACACCTCCAGATGCCTGTTGTCTCCACTTGGAGGTGTTCTAGGCATATCAAGATAAACATGCTCAAAATTCACCTTCTGCTTGTCCTTCTTTTCCAAGCCCGTAATGGACCCACTCTTTCATCCTAGTTACTTTGCTTCAATCTCACAGTTGCTAAAGCAAAATGCTAGGACTCATTGCTTGCTCTTTATTCCAGGCCTTGAATATGCAAAAACTCCTCAACAAATATGCTGATTCTACACCCAAGCATGCCTCACTCCTACACTACACTCCAGCTCTTAGTCCAAGTGACCATTGTTGCCTTACATTTCTATTTGATCTCCTTACTTCTCTGCTCTCCATTCTCCATTTAACAGGCAGAGCCATCCTTTTACATCCAGAGTCAGACCTTGCCACTGCTTGATTGAAACTCCTCATTTCTGAGTCCTGTTTTATTCATCTAGACCCCCCTCCCCAGAAGCTTTCCAGTTTGGCTTCTTATATTGGCTTATCTACCAATTGTAGTCTCCTAGATTTACCTGCCAATTCTAATTCAGTCTGCTCCCAATTCCCAGAACACAGGAGTTCTTTCCTGGCCAATACTATTGAGCCCACAGCTTCCTCATCCTCTGGTCTCTAGCTCCTCCATGACTGTCTCGTGCTCATCTTTCAATCTTTCCTTCTAATGTCCTGTTGAAAGCATCTGAAAATGCCATCTGATAAAGCCACCCAAATTATTCTGAATTATCACCCTACTTATTTCCCCTTTAGGAATTAACAAGATATGTAATGACTTGTTCATTCATTTATTTCTTTACTGTGTCTCTCCTCTACTAAGTCCTAATTTTATGATAATTGCTATAAATACCATATCCTAAGTTAATAAATAGTATAGTATATGGATGGCTCCAGGCATGTCCTTAATAAATATTTATTGGACAAATGAGTGCCAAAGCCAATAATGTTTTAACAATAGACATAAAGGTTAATAGAACATATGGATATATCAATTATTGATGAAAAATGGAAAGGATTGTTTGATCTGATCCCTTGTAAGTCATCAGTGAAGGCAAGAAGTTTGCCTGGATCATTACTGATATATTTGGATTTATGACTGGCCTAGAATTGCTCTGCCTTTCCCTGTTGCTTGATAAGTCTCTCCCCTGTAGAAGGCAGAGGTAAGAATGCTGTGAGCGAGGAATAACATTGATGCAAACATGGAAAGCAGTAAATGCCTCAGCTGCTTTAATGAAAAAGAACCTTGAAATGCTCTGCCATCTTAGTAGTTTAAAAATAGCCTTCCTTAAAATTTTAACTGGACAGATATGTGTTTAATTGTATTGCAGAGAAAGAAGCAGCACAGAGAATTGATGTGGAATGTAAAGAGGGGCAGATGGTGGAGTAGGGAGATTTAAGGATGGAAAACAGCACCAGGGATAAGGGTCTCTCTGAGTCTCTGGAGCATATACTTATGGCCACTGAAGGAAGGGCAGATCTTCCTCTCCATTGTGGGATATTAAGGAAGGTTAGAGCTTCCATGTGTCCTGTGAAAAGTGGGAAATCCAGGTAGGTAAAGAGCGGAACATAGAATGCTGTTGAGACATTGGGAACTACTGGCCAAGAATTCATTAAAAAAATAATTGTCACTGAAGTTCCCACCAAAGCCATGAATCTGGTACTTGTTCATACAGTTGCATCACTAATCAAATGGTTATTAAGTACAGGCTATGTTCTAGAAGACACTCGGAAGTACTAAGATTATTAAATCACATGTTTGGCAATCATGAGAGGGAGAGGATAGACTAGCTAGCAAAGCTTCATGTTGAGGTCCAAACAACTTTGCTGAGCTAGAACTCAGGAGCCAGTTCTTCTCAAAGAGTCTATTTCCATATAATTTAAGATTTTAGGGATAGAACACCAATGATAATTAAATGCTGAAGCAGGACACAGTTCTTTAGAAGTCTTGTAACTGTCAGAATAACAGGTTGAATGGAAATTCAAATGTGTAGAGGCAGAGGTTATGACTCTGAGGGTGTCTGAATTCTTGACGAGGACCTAGCGGTGACCTGGACAAGAACAGGCAGAGGGTGCTATATTCAGACAATATGAAAGTGGAAAATAGGAATTGCTTGTGAGGAAGATATGAGAGTGTTCTTGGCGTCATAGTAACAAATGAAAATCACCCCCAGAATGCTGTGTCAGAGAGTGGGCGTGTCTTCCAAGGATTCCAGTTACAGCAGGAAGGGTGCTCTGAAGTGGGAAGCTGGGAGCAAACTTTCAGATTGAGACACTGAGTTTCCCGGGCCCTGGTCAGGCTTAAGCACTGTAAATGAGTGAGAAGGGGGAGGAAGAAGAAAGGAAGAAGAGAGGAGAGGTGGGAGGAGAGGACAAGGGCAAGTGGAAGAGAAGGAAGAGTAGAAGCATGGAGGGAAGAAAGGAAGAATGAAGGGAGGGAAGGGTGACATCATACTCTCTGATCTGCACACAGCAAAGGACCAAGTAGTGTGGGAGATCAGAGCGCTTCAGCAGCCTGTCGGCAGGAGGAGCTCTGCTCTTCCAGGCCAACGCCAAGAGTAAGCACAAGTCATGGGGGTCAACCCAGGGGGACGTTCTCTTACATCTCAAATGTGTGCTTTTTCAAACTTGGTTTTGAAGTAGCAGCACCCACCACCTTGATAATGAGAGGCATTTATTACAAAGCAAAACAAAACCCCAAGATAATGCAGAGAAGTATAAAGGTCACTTATACTCATAATGGAGATGATATAACTATTATCCTGCCTGGCACTTGGGTTTTTCTGGCATTTATCACAAGGACTATACTACTGCACCCCCCCCCCGGGCCATCTCCTCCCTCTCCCTCCATCTTTGTTGTTGGCATCTTTCTGGTTTCTCTCTTTAAACTCCAACTTGAGTCTTGTTGGTTGGGTACTACCTTACACCACATTCCCTTGCAGCTGCAGCATTGCTCTAGCTGTGGCCAGAAGCTTCTGGTGCCTTTCAAGAGGCTCCCAGGGCAGAGACCATGCCACTAGGGCCCCAGGGAAACCACTTCACTTTCCATACCAAACTGGGAAGCTAAGGTGAGGCTAGCCAGTCACCCTGCAGACTGATGCCTGTCCCTACTGAGGTGCCACTCTGTCTTTCACTATCAAAACCCAATGTCTTGAGCCAGCAGTATGACAGCCTAGAGTAGAGGGGCTTTTATTGACTTGAGTTGTCTGAGCACACAATGGAACCCTGAAATGGTTTGGCTCCCTGCAAATAACACTTAGAGCTTGCTTCCATTGAGAGAAGCAAAGCCAGCTCAGGAAGAGCACTGCTCTCCACTTTTGTGAACCCAAGAAGCACGACCTTTATTTTACCACATAGGTCGAGATTTCGCTTTACCACAACCGTGTTAATTTTTTCTTTGCCTCCTTCCTCCCACCCATCTCCTGCCACTTCCCGGGGACCATAAAACTCTCAACATCCTGCTGTCCATTAGCATAAATAAACCTGTGCTTTTACGGTAAAAATAGTTTTTAATGCTATATTTTTTAAAGACTGCATTACCATAAGAGGATAAAAATACTCCTGGATAACAGGTAGGTTATATTCTTCAGAGGCAGTAGGCAGTAACATGCTTTTTTTTTTTTTTTTTTTTTTTTTTTTTTTGTGGTTCCCTGAGAGTCAATGATTCCAACCATGGATTAAAAGCTAGGTCTCAGCACTCAGCACACATTACATTTCCACCTCAGAATCGGTTAAGCTGTGAGCTTTCCACAGACTTGTGCCTTTACATTTTCATTAATTTTATTTTTCTGTTGCCAATATTTTATAGGCAGTTCTAAAACCCAATCCAAAAAAAAAAAAAAAAATGCCATTCCAATCCGATCTTTGCTATATGAGCAACTGGTTATTTACCCCTCCATTTTATCTAATGTTAACTTTAATTTGGTGTAACATTTATACAACAGATAAGGAAATACTGGGCCGAGAAACAACAGAAGTGGCAAGAAATGGAACTGAGAGATGTGCAGCGTCTAGAAGAACTCAAGGCATTAATGGCTGAACAGTCCGTGAAAGACAGAGAAAGGTAAGGGAGGGGTTTGAGAGGTTTGAGACGGAGACGGTGAATAGGGAAAGCACCTTCTGTAATACATTCGGAAAAGTGATATCACAGCCAGGGTCTTTCACACCGAATGTTGCCATTTAATATTTATATCTACAAATGGATAAAATGATTTCTGTAACGTAGTTTAAACTCTTACTTTCATACTTAAACCTCCAGTTTTCCAGTGTGTTCCTTTGATGGCTTCCTAGTTAAAGATCTCACAGAGGATTTTATGGCAACCGATTGCTCACTGTGTGCATGAAATGATACTGGCAGCTGCTGTGACTTAATATTTTGACCCAGGAGGAGAAAGCCATTATTTTAATAAGAAAGGAGTCTACTTACTGTGACTGGGGCTGCAAAAGACAATCCACAATTATATAGAGCTGCCTGGAATGTTCCAAGGAACTCACCATTGCTACATATGAAAATGTGCTCTAGACTTTCCTACAATTATGTAACTGCAGAACTGGGAAGAACATTTGAGATAATGAGCTCAGTCTTCTTATTTTATGAGTTACACCAAGAGATTAAAACTATGTTTTTTAAAGATTACTGTATCAGTGCCAAAAAGAAAACAGTAAAAATCCTGGTAATCTGCAAAGGAAAATCTAAACTATAAAGAGCTGTATTTCTATCCGGAAACCCCTGTTACATAACTGGATCAAGTGGACACTAAGGAAGTCCCTAGGGCTGAGGAACAATTCCTATGGAAGAAGAAGTTGGAATTGGAGCCTGTTGCTGGAGTCATCGGTGCTCTTTATCCTTTCTACATCCTGGGTCATCATCACATAGTTTTGGGGGTATCTCAGCACTTAACAGTTGAGTGTGAAACTCAGGATGTAGCAAAACCTGAGCTCAAGGTCACGAGGTCAAACAACCAAAAGGCAAACTGAAAGTGAAGGTCAAGGTGGCTACCATGGGACAGACTGCACATGCAGTGGTTCAGAAAGACGTTAATGGGAGCCTCCAAATAGCAGTGCACCAAAGGGCAATGCAAAGGCAGTGGTCAGGAGGCCGGTCGGGACATTTAAGCTCCCCCAGGAAATGAAAGAGAGCCACAGGAACTTGAGGGGGTGTGAAAAGCAGAACAGATGTGGAGTTCCAGCATTTGGGACACGCTTCTAATAGAACATCTCTCATAGCAGGGAGCTTCTCTGATTACAGAGCCGTTTGCAGTCTTCCTGTCCTAGTAATTATCAAGATTAGCTGATTCAGAGCTTCAGCTGAAAAGAAGAGAAAGAAAATCAGATTAGCACGTATTACATAACAGGAAAAAATAGCCATATTACAGCATAGCAAAAGGACCGAGGACCAGGAGCTGTAGCTCAGGATTTTATTCTTAACTCAGCTTTGAATAGAGTACGACCTTGGGAACATCAGTTGTTTACCTTCCACAAGGCTCCATGTTGCCTATTGGAAAACATGGGAAGGCTGAAAAGCTGACCACTCTTTACATACAATATGTAATCTCCTTTGATGAAATAATGCAGATTTAAATAGTTGTAAAGCCAATCCTTGTATACCAGTGGTAAATCACCAAGGAAGTGCTTTCCAATATGATATATCCAAGCTATAATTCTCTGTGAAAACCAAAACCAAACAACAACAAAATCTATGTTGCTTTGTGGGCTGGGGATGCAACAGCACTGGAATAAGGCTTGAGTGGCATCTATAGAGTCCTGGGTTCGATCCCAAACATCACCAAAAACAGGTATGATGGCACATGCCTATAATCTGAGCACTTGAATTGGAGACAGGAGGATCAGAAGCTCAAGGTCATCCTTAGGTACATAGCATACCTGCCTCAAAAAAATGATGAAAATAGAAACATAATTCCCATTCTGTGTTTTGAGATGCAGTCTAACCCATAAAAACCTTTCATTTCTGACAATGACCAGAAGCTATATTCTTCTGTGGCCATTCTGTCACTAAGAAATATGGCAGATAGGTTAAATTTCTTTCTCTAAAATATAATACAATAAAAATCTTGTTGGATATTTTAACCTTAGGAACCTTACTCACACTACATTAAGAAGGCATAAATATTAGCTTTCAGACTTGTCAGCATGGTTTGCAGATGCGTCCTTGGGAGTTTGAAAACTGCTCATTTACTTATTTCTGCTTTGGAGATGGAAGATGAAGGTTCATGGAAGTAGCACATTCATCAACAAATTGATGAGTGGAGAACATGAAGCTTTCACTTTGCAGTTAAAAGTAGTGGCATGTTGAAGGTTTCATGAGGCTTGACATAGCAAAAAGACAACCACATCCATATCGTATTTTATTCAAATTATTTTGTCAAAGCCTCCACCAGCTTTCTGTGTCCCAATTCCCCATTGGCAACATGTTCTTGAGCTTGAGGGAGAAGACTCCAGAACTAGGGTGTGGCCACGAGAGCCTTGACTCTGTCTTTCACAAATAGTGTCTCTGCGCTTTAGTTTGTCATTTGTACAGTGAACAAATAAACAGCACCTACTTCAAATGATTAAAAGTATCAAATCAATATTGACTGCAACTCACTGCCTGAAACATAGAACATAAGAGCATTCATTGTAAGTGATTTGCACAAACTGACTTTTCTAATGACAAGATGCTTCTAATGCACTTTTGTCAGCCAGGTGGTGGTGACGCACACCTTTAATCCCAGCACTCTGGAAGCAGAGGCTGGTGGATCTCTGTGAGTTCCAGGCCAGCCTGTTATACAGTTAGAGTTACACAGAGAGAAAACCTGTCTCAAAAAAAAAAAAAAAAAAAAAAAAAAAAAAAAAAAGCAAGAAAATTCCCCAACAAACAAAAACCCCAAAACAAAACAAAAACAAAAACAGTCTCTAATGCAGTTTTGTTCAAATATTTAAATTTTAAAATATTTAAAAACATGTAGCAATGAAGCCATTCTTACAGAAATGAAACCACTTGTATTAATGTAAGCTGCTTCTTGATGCCCATCCTCACGAAATTGTCTTATCTTGAATCCATTGCTATTATATTCTGTTTTACAAAGCACATACATGTTGTCTATATGTACCCAGGCAAAAATACAAATGTAAGAAAACCAAGCAATCCTTCTACTGCAAAACGTAGTACCATTGTGTTAGCCAGCTAGAGCTGTTGAGAAAAAATGTATTCACTGGAAGGTTTGGAAATCTGAGGATTCTGATGAAGACCCCCTCTCCAGCCTCCAGAAAGCAGCCCTCTCATGGAGACTCACTTCACTGGCTGGGAGAGACAAGTTCTTTGATGTCTTTTCCTAGAAGGGCACCCATGCCCTTGTAAAAAGCTTCACCCTTTCCCAAAACCCTAGAAATGAAGATGTACACATATGAATTTGGAACTGACATGTTCAACATAACCATCTGAAAGAAACAAAATGTGTTTGTCTAATTGAAGGTTGTCTGTTACTTGGCTGCTGCTAGCAAAGAATATCATTGGAGCACTTATAAAAGGTGCCCAGTTTGACAGTGAAGTGTCTTCAGCTCCTGCTGCAGGACAAACTAGAAAAAGGTTGTCCTCCTGAACCACCACACACAAAGGCAAAACCCCAAGCAACCTTCGCATGATCCATGGTGATCCTCAAATCAGAGAGAGAGAGAGAGAGAGAGAGAGAGAGGGAGGGAGGGAGGGAGGGAGGGAGGGAGGGAGGGAGGGAGAGAGAGAGAGAGAGAGAGAGAGAGCGCATATGTAGGCATATGTAGCCATCTGGGATTTTTATTCATGAATGATGTAAGCTAACTGTCTGACTTCCTCTTTTTTCCCCCTAATTTGATGGCTAACTATTTCAGAACCAATTGATGATGATTCATTCTTAACCTTTGATTGGATATGCCACTTTTATTACATATCACATTTCTAATTATACTTTTATGTTCATATGGACTCTTTATTAGATTAAATAAAAGCTGATCTCTATTCATGCTTCTGCATGGACACCATGCTCTTCAATCACTCTCTTGCACTGTCTAATAGGACAAGTATTCTCAAAAATAACTAGTCTTATGTCAATTTTTCTTGACAAATTCTGTTAACTTTTTGTATTAAAATAATGTTAAGAAAATCTGATATATCCACAAAATTTAATCTCCAATCTAGAAACATGTTGACAAAATAGCTTTCTGGTCCTTTCTTCTCTCAGGTCCTTAAAATTTTTTTTTTCCAGTGAAAGTTTAGAAATTACCTCCATTGAGGTAATTTCAACTTCTTTTAGGTGAGAAGAAAAAAGTCCGCCATAAGATAGCAGCCATGGGGGTATAGGGGTGTGAAGATTGGGGTGTTTATGAAGTATTGAAGTTAATTAACTTTGGGAACTCATGTTACTGAAGATGAAGTCAGAGAAATAAACCTGACCTTGCCTATAGTTGACATTGTTTTGTGGTAGTTTTAGTATCTTTTATTTATACATAATATAGCTATACAATCTGCTTTGATCATAGCCAACCCAACTCTGTGTTCTCATGCCCAACACCTCACCATGTTCTCTTACTCTCTCTCCCTCTTTCTGTGTGTGTGTGTGTGTGTGTGTGTGTGTGTGTGTGTGCGTGCGCGCGTGCGCACACGCATGTGCGCACATGTCTGCTAAGACTGCTGACTGACCTTGTTGGCAGGTGGCTAAAAGGTTTTGCTTATTTGTTTTTTGTTCATTGGTTGTTTCTCTCTTTAACTTAAGCAGCCTTTAATGAGAACTGTGTATGAAACACCTCTACTTCTCCATCTTCCCAGTCATTTCAATCATTTCTCCTTTGTATTTGTCCTTCTCCTTTCCTACTTGTCGAGACTTGGTTTTCCTTTCCAGGATCTTTATTTATTTGGTCTTTGTCAGCTTTAGCCTGGTGAATGCCCACATGGACAGTTGTTTATTGGTTTTTGATTTATTTTGTTTTTGTCCCTTGGGTTGAAAGCTTTAGTTCTTTTGTTTTTAATTTCTTATTTTATAGTCCATTTCTTTGCCTGTAATCTTTCATATATGTCTTTGGCCAATATTCTGT